AGAAATAGATCATTCTTTTTTCTGAGCTTGGATAGTTTTACGTTTTTAGGATTCGTAAATCAAAGGATAAAAAAAATAATTAAGAAACACCCAAAATGTAGATGTCCCTTAACATGAAAGATTTACCTAAGCCCTTCATCATCTATGTGTTTCTAGTATCTTTAGCACTTTGTAAATATCACAGAAAATCAAGCCTTATTTACACTGGTACTTTCAATTATATTTCCCATCTGTTTGGACACAACTATTTAAAAAATTGCTCAGAGGGCCCAGCAGTTAGTGTAATGGCTATGTTGCTGGACTCCCACGTAGTTGACCGCGGTTTGCGTCCCGGACCCGGTGGCTTAAAACACGCCTGGCGCGTGTGCGTGTGTGCCCAAGATCCCGAGAGGAGAATGGAGGAGAAGGAATTGTGGCGTGGCCATCCCCCCTGGGGGGTGATTTCTCACTTTCTGTCTTTCTGTCTCTGTCTGGCGAGCGCACGTGCCCTATAGCAAAAACCTCTCAAAAAAAAAAATTGCTCAGAAATGAAGATGAATTTAATGTCTTTTGATAATGAGATTTAAAATTTTTCCATTAGTATAATTACACTGTGGGCAAAAACCTTCACAGAGATATTTGTTCATCAGCTACTGAGTGAAAAAGGGAAACGGTGTTTTCTGGGACCTGGTGAAGTAAGAGTTCTTAAATCATGAGAATAGCTGAATAAGGAGGTATAAATGTGAGCATGGGCTCTCTTGCTAAGCCTAATCAAGTAAAAGAATCTATCCTTTTCATTGTTAGGATATTTATTGGGAAGCAGCATGAACCAGGAGTCAAGGAGTATGAATTTGAATGTTGGTTCCGCTGTATACGAGTTGGTGATGTTAACCTCTCTGTGCCTCAGTGTTCTCATCTTTAAAATGTGGGAGGGCTGGCCCCATAGTGCAATGGTAAAGCTCTGTGTGCTGTGAGACAGATTCTACATGTCTGAGCACAGTTCAAGTCCCAGGCTCGGTAGCTAGAAAACATGCCGGACACATATGTACATATATCCCAAATCCTAGCAGGATGGAAAATGGGAGAAAAAGGATTGTGGTGTGATCAAGGCCCAATTGAGGGTGCTTTCTCTCTCTCTCTTTTTTTCTTTTTCTCTGGCAAGTGCCCTCTGGGAATAAATGATGATGATGATGATGATGATGATGATGATGATAAAACAAAATGGAGGAAAACAGTATTTTATAGTGTGGGAGTGAGGATTAAAACAGTATCTATGAATCACCTAGAATAAGGTGGCCCTGTGGTATAGTGGTTAGGTGCTACGTGTGCTCTGCACGGGGAGCTGGATCCCAAATTGCCCACCAGAGTTTAAGCACCAGCCTTGGAAGCTTGGGAAACATGCTGGGAATGTGTGCCTGGGGTCTTCACAGGATGGAGAAATGGAAAGAAGAGAGAGCAGCATTGCCATACCCCTTTGGAGGGTGCACATTCCCTCTCTCTTTCTGGAGTGTACATGCACCTTTTGGCAATAAAAACAAAACAAGACCAAAAAACCCACTTACAATAAATCCTGGAACACAGTCAGCACTATAAAAGTGCTCATTAAAAATATATATATATATTGGGCCAGCAGGTGGCATGGAGGTTAAGTCAGCTAGCTGGATCCCACATGGCCGATTGCATGGTTTGTGTCCCAGACCTGGCAACTTGAAAATATACCAGCCACACATGTGTGCACGTCCAAAATCCTGAAAGGAGAATGGAGAAGAAGGGACTACAGCATGGGGGGTAGGGGAGATTTCTCACTTTCCCTCTCTGTGTCTCTCTGGTGGGCACATGTGCCCTAGAGCAAAACAAACCAATGAAAAGTATCAACTAAATACCTTTGCGAAATTGCATCTTAGAAACTTCAATTTTGTTTAGAATATATATGTCTAGTTTAAAGTGCTCACATTAGAAACTGAAAAAAAATCCAGCTTTCAAGCATTTATTTCATATTTTAAGATTAAAATGTATTTCTATGTCAACTTCTTTATACAGTCAGTAATCTATGTCTGCATACTTACAAAATCTAGCTCTTCAGATGTATTTTGTATTTTCAGTGTTTAATCTTTTCGCTAAAACCTGTCTGAACAAATAGCTTTCATTTGAAAATAAAAGTGGCTTTTAAAATTCAACTTATGTTAACATTCTGTCATTCGAGTTTAAGACCACAAAGCAGGGTTGTGGCCATCAAACTAGTTCTTTTAACATAGCTATGTCACCTAAATTAAAAACTATGTCAGCAAGTGGCAGCTTTAATTACCAGTGTGCTCAGTCACCACCACTTTGCTTGACAGCTTTACTATTCATAAAAGAAAAAGGATCAGATGGGGTGTGACACAGCTCTCCACCGCAACAGGGACGTGAAGGGGGAGGAGAAGGAGGCACTAGTGAATTATGCTACAACTGCCTTGTGTGGAATTTAAGTCAGTATTAGCAGGAAAGGAGTTAGAGCAGTTGGGAGCTTCTGGGATGGACAGAGTAACTGGAAAGACTCCTTGGGATGGGAGAAAAGAACACAGATTCAAGACCTTTTCCATTGTATTTGTCTATTTCAACCAACAAGATCAAATATTCAGATCATTATAGAAATGCATGAATATGGTAAAAATGCAACATAAAATCTCTACTCAAACATATTAAGCTACAGAACAAGTAGTTTAGCCAATTCTATTTTTAAATAATTACTTATTTAATTTTATTTATCATTACCATTTTTCAGTTTGTTACACAGCACATTTGCTCACCAGAGAGAGAAAAAAAGGGAAAGTCAGGAAGCAAGTTGCCAGGTCTGGGATAGAACCATGGTTGGCCATGTTGGAGTCCAGCGCCTTAACTACCACACCATCTGCTGCCCCCCTCTTTTTTTTAACCTGTGAAAATGACGCTTTAAGCTCTGCAAAAGTAGGGTCTGCATCATAGTTGTAGCCTACTGGCTCAATGACAACTGAATTAACTAGCTAACTTAGTAAATGTTTTAATTATGTTCTCCTATGAATGGAGCTGCTGGAATTGGCATTACTGTAAAAAAAAAAAAATCAGGGCATGATTTAATCATTTTCTTAAAACTAAAAGAATTTTTCTTATTGTTTGAAGGTGTATGCACTCGGCACTCATCAGTGAGAGAAACAGAGGGAGAGGAAGTCAGCAATCCCCAGTGGGCTTGGTCATACTGCAACCCCTTCTCCATTTTTCCATTTTCTCAGGATTTTGGGTATGCACACACATGTACCTGGCATGTATTATAAGCTGCTAGGGTCGGGTTTTGAACTGTGGTTGGCTATGTGGGATTAAGCTCCATTCACAGCTACGGGACCAGCCCAAGACGAGAAGAATTAAAACAAAACAAAACAAAAACTTATTTATTTAATTTTACTTATTTATTAATATTGTTCACTTTGACCAGAGAGAAAACAAACTGCTAGGTCTGGGACTCAAACCGTGGTCAGCCATGTGGGAGTCTAGTGCCTTAACCACCAACTATTTGCCAGTCCAGGAGAATTTTTTTTCAATGAACGAAGGCAACAGCTGTGGCCAAGGCTCTCTCACGCTGACTTTCAAATATTATTCTTCCTTCCTTTCTTTTTTTTTTTTGATAGGTTTTTTGCTATAGGGCACGTTTGTGCATCAGAAAGACAGAAGTAAACAGAGACAGAAAGCAAGAAATTCCCCCCCCCGGGGGGCGGGGGGATGGCCACACCGCAATCCCTTCTCCTCCATTCTCCTTTTGGGATCTTGGGCATGCACAGATGCCCAGCATGCAAGCCACCAGGTTCAGGACTTGAACTGTGGTTGACTACATGGGAGTCCAGTGACATGACCACTATGCCATCTGCTGGTCCTCAAATATTATAATTTCAAGAGAATACCACTCAGGCTGGTAGTGAAACAAAAACTACTTGATGTCATTTTAAAAATAAATGCTTCATATGTAATCTGGCAACTTTTCATATTTTTCCTTATTATTCTTCCCTCACCCCACCTAAACCATCCCCTTTCCTTTCTACATTATTAGAGATAGAGCAACATATATAGCGAAGTTTCTGCCCTCACGGAGACTACATTCTAATGGACAAGAGGAAGACAACATAAATGTAAACAAATAATGAAATATATGATTTCCACTGGGAACACGTAGAAAATAAAATGAATGTTGAGATAGAGAGTGACCAAGTGGTAAAAGAGGGAGATGGGAAACACTTTGGGTAACAAAGGTTGGGAAGGCCTCAATAAGGAGGTCATTCGATTAATGTCTGAATAAAGAGAAGGAGGAGGACAGTAGGTGGTGCAGAGGTTAAGGCAGCTGGATCCCACATGGCCAACTCTCAGGTTTAAGTCCCTGGCCTGGTGGCTTGAAAGACATGCCAGGTGCATGTGCATGCATATGCAAGATCTGGAGAGGAGAATGGGGGAGAAAGGATTATGATGTAACCATACCCCTCTCCCCAGAAGGTGCTTTCTCACTTTCCCTCTCTCTTGCTCTCTCTCTCTCTGGTTGCACCCTATAGCAATATAATACAAAACAATAGAAGGAGTCAGTAATGTAAACATCTAGGGGGAAAAGAACATTCCAGATAGTGGAAATTTGTACGAAGAAATTCATAAGCCCTCATTTCTCCTCTTCAAATTTTATCTTTTAGAGTAAGATCAAATAACCTTTCTCTGCAAGCCAAGTCCCAGTTTTTCTATAACCCAGTTTTTCTATAACTTCCCTTACCCCTAGTTCCCAGCATTATACCTAGCATGTAGGAGGTCCTTAACAAAAGAGGAATAGTTGTGTGTGACCTCTGTGAACTATACCTGCTCTATTAAGCTCTAAACTGTCAACCACAGCCATCTGTGGCCTGAGAAACAAACAGAAACTTCTAGAAATCACAGAAAGAAACCACTGACCTCAAAATAGGAGGCTTGCTCCTAATACTGCTTACACAGTCTTTTACTCATTTAACTTTGGTCTTGCCACTTAGTGACTTACTTACCATGGCCAGGGTACTCAAAAGAGTCTGCTTCATCAGGGGTATCGAGTTCATCCACATTGATATCGATTTCATCTGGACTGTCCAGGTTGTCATCAGAGAGGATAGACCCTTCACTTTGGTCTAGAGAAAGATTGATATTCGGAGCTGTGAGCTTGATTCGTCGAGAATGTGTACCATTAAGGTCCAGAGAATTAGGGGGTTCTAAAGAAGAAAAAGGAATAACAATAGCAAGTATTAGAATACACACGTGGTTGCCAGGACTGGGTTTAGAACTCCAACAAAAAACATTTAAAAAGACATACTACTTTGTTTTATTTAGAGAAGGTCTCACTATGTTGTGATCTTTCTGCTCCAGCTTCCCAAGTAGCTGGGACTAAAGGTGAGCACTACCACACCCCACTCAACATTCAAGGTGAGCAGGGAGTCAATGCTGGGCTTCTCATGTGGCCTCAGCCTGCCAAGTAGCAGTGTCAACCTGCACATACTACCTGACACTTGCCCTCTTTAGCAAAGGTGGGTCTGATCAAAATTCTTATATGGGATTTGGACCCCTTCTTGACAGAAGGCCTTAGTACCATCTCCCCCCAGCCCTATAAGCCTTGGTCATGAGGAAACAAGAAGTGTAATTGCTAAATTTGTAGAAAACTAGTTTTTAGAACTTCTCTGTTCAATTTTTGAGAAGTTGGCACTGCTATACTATTCAATTAGATTTTATGGGGCCTATTGCATAAGAAAAAGTTAAGCTTACCTGTATTTTCTAATAGTTCAGGCCTACTTTGCTCCTATGGACTGGAGGTTAAGAATTTTGTTATATTTATAGAATTCCCCAAATACTTCTCTTTGGGTCCTGACCACTCTAGTCATGATCTTCGGGACTTTCCTATGGGTGGCCTGCCTTTCTGGTTTTTTGTTTGTTTGTTAAATAAAAGCTGACACAGCCTCTCAGGTTATATAGTCTTTGAATCTTCTTTGAACCACCAAGCAGTCACTACCTCTTTTACCAGGATCACTTAACATTAATTCCTATTACATAAGTAATAATCTTTTAAATAAGTAATTATTTTAGTTTTGCTATAGGGTGCATGTGTTCACCAAGCAGAGAGAGAAAGAGAGAAAGAGAGAAAGCACACCTCTCTAAGGAGAATGACCATGCCTCAGTCCTTTCTCTTCTGCTCTCCTTTAGGGATTTTGGGTACACATGTTTTTCAAGTCACCAAGTCTGGGACTCAAATCACACAGTTGGCCATGTGGGATCTAGCCACCTTAACCTCCACCCACCAGACTGACTCCATGATAATCTTATACTAAGGGTGGGAAGTAGCTCCCTCTTTCTCATCTCAGCATGTAAACTGAGGCCCATGTGACTTTTATTTCATAGGTTAAGAGCTGGAGAAGTCGTTTTTAACCACGTTTATTCCAGCTAAACAAAGGAAGAGGAATAACCTAATGTGATACAGGACAGGTTATTCCTAATGTGATTCAGGACACATTACAGGAATTCTGTGCCTAGAAACAGTTCTAGGCACAGAATTCCTGAAACCTTTGAATTTCCTGAGTGACAGGGGCATCTTTCGTAACTCCTAGCACACCCCCTTTTGATCACAACTGACTTCATGCTAACAAGGTAGCTTAACATGGGTCCCCTAGATAATTTCAGGACTGGGCTGGTCATCAGAGAGACCAAGTGATTAGAAGGCTGCAACTTTCCGTCCCATTTACTGACCTACAGGAAGGAAGTAAGGGGCTGGAGATCGGTCTCTGTAAAAACTCTTGAACGGAGTCAGCTGCAGGGGCATGAGGATGGTGCTACTGCTTGGGAGGCTGTAGCCCCATGAGAGGGTTGTGTTCAGATCCTGGTCAACGTGAACACACCAGGTGCAGTTGTGCATGCCTGTGAATTGTGCATCCTTGCTAATTGGGAGGCTGGGGCAGGAGGATTATGAGCTATTGGAAGTGCCTATTTCCGTTTCTCTCACCTCCCTTCCTGCCCACAATGAAGGAAAAAGAGAAAAAAACAAAAACACCTCTTGAACAACGAGATTTGATGCGCTACTAGGTTGGTGAAGACATTGAGGAACTGGGAGGGCAGCATGCCTGGTGAGGGCATGGAAGCTTGTCATCCCTATCTCCAGGTCTTGCCCAATGTGCCTCATCATCTGCCTATTCAGCTGTTCCTTTATATTATCCTCTGTAATAAGCCAGTAAATGTATAAAATGTGAGTTGTCCTAGCAAATTATTATTTTCCTGCAAGTTAATTTCATTCCCAATAAAGAGTGAGTGTGTATGCACTCAAGAGAAAAAGAAAGAAAGAGAGAGAAGCATCATTGACAGGGTCTTGTCATGCCACCAGCATCTCAGGATTGGGGCAAGAGTGTGTACTTGGTAAATTCCAGGTTGACTGAGCTTGAGATCAACCCCCAATCAGTCATTTGGCTTCTACTAAAGTCCAGTACACTATGGACTGCACCACCCAAGCTGGACCCTATCTAACTATTGGCCTTGAGAATGGAGTGTGTGAGAACCCTGATTAATAGCTAATTAGTTGGAAGCACAGGTCATCTCGGACCTGGCAGCTTGAAAAACATGCCGAGTGCATGTGCATGTATGCCTAATTCTGAGAGGAGAATGGGGGAAGAGGGCTAGAGGTATGGTTGTTTACCCTTGAGGGTGATTTCTTTCTCTCTCTCCCCTCTATCCATCCCCTACCCAACAAGCACATGCACCCTATAGCAAATTACTAAAACAAATAAAGAAATAAAAGGAAAACAGAAGCATAGGTCATAATCTACGATTTGTGATTAGTATCTGAAGTGGTGGCAGTCTATGGGACTGATTCTTAAGTTGTATGTTCTGGCACAATCTTCAGGTAAACAGGGTTAGAACTGAACTAAATTATAGGACATCCTATAATTGTTTGCTTGGTTTCTGGGGAAAACAAACAAACAAACAAAAATACAAACTCTAGACATCTAGTCACAAAAGTGTTCTGTGTAAGATGTAGAAGAAAAAGTTCTGTGTGAGAATAGAGAGGAGAAAACTGTTTGTCGTTTTCACCTAAAGACAAAAATAACAAGATTCACTGGCATGAAGTATTTTGATGGCCATCTGGTATACCCTGCCGTTCTAGAATTCTAACTCTGGTGGAGTCCTAAGGAAATTGGCTCAGTTCCTTTGTTATTAAGGTTTTTCCTTTTTGTATAGAATATCATCCAAATTGTGTTCCGTGTAGTGTTTTACGTATTACTTGAAAAAAAAAATTCTATTGATTAATAAGTTTAAAAAAACACTGGGTTCCTATTAGATCATTGGAAAAAGTCATGACATACTTTTCTATGCAAAAATGTGTCATAATTTTTCCAATGACCCAATATATTACAGGAACTCTCGGAGTAATTTTCTTCCTTTTTTTTTTGGTAATGGAGATGCTCTATATATGGCTACTGAGCATGTGAAATGAGGTTAGTGCAATTGAAGAATAGAATTTTCCAAATTTATTTATGGGCCAGCCCCATAGCTCAGTGGTTAAGTGCTATGCATTAATTTGGGAGCCAGATCCCACATAGTGGACTTCGAATCCTGGCTGTGGGGGCTTGAGGAGCACAGTGAGCAGATGTGCCTAAAATCCTCACAGGACGAAGAAATAGAAGAAGGACTGTAGTGGGTTTTCTCTCTCTCTTTGGTAAGTGCACATGCCCTCTGATGACGGTGATGTTGATGATGATGATAATAACAATGATGATAATTAATAATAAAATTTAATTTAAATAGCCACATGTGGCCAGCCTCTAACATATAGGAACCATAGCTTCAGTGCCTTTATTATTCAAAAGTGTACTGTGGGGCCAGCAGGTGGCATGCTGGTTAAAGCACTGGACTCCCACATGGCTGACTATGGTTTGAGTCCTGGATCTGGTGGCTTGCTTTCCCACTTTACTCTTTTTCTCTTTCTCTATTTTTTCCCAAAGCAAATAATAATAATAATAATAAAAGAATAAATAAACTTAATTAAGATATTCTAAAAAAAAAAGTACATTGTGAACCTTGATGAGTGGGAATAGACAAATAGTGGTAATAGTGATTACCAAACTAATCTGGCCATAGAACATTTAAAAATAATTATGTCACATAACTAATATGTCGAAGAACGTACTTTAAATACTAGGGTAGAAAATGAATTAATCAACTCCCCTTTCCTATCTCATTCTAGGTTTGCCTGAGATTCAGAATTTTGATATGATCCTTGAGTTGGCGCCTTGTGGGGGAGTGACCCAAGTACAAAGAGAGTTATGTAGGGTATGAGTACTGAGCATTCCTATTTCTATTGAAAACATGGTCACCGCTACAGGTAAATTTGGACATGAGTCAGCATTTGGCATTATGATCTACAATAGCCAAGCATCACAGGAACTGAAAACATCTGCAGACAAGGCCCTAGCCCAGGTGATAAAATGTGAGCATCACCAGGGATCATCAATATTCAAGTCAGCTCTGAAATTAACCAAATTGAGCCTAACACCTTCCTTTCACACATTTTTTTTCCTCTTCATTTTTATCACTGAAATCACAAGTAGAATGCACAGGAAATGGTCTTTTCACTGAATAATGGAGTTGTCTGGAGGTAGAATACCACGAAAGGAAAAGAACAGATGCTCCGCTCACCAGGCCTCATGTCTGCAGCACTGGGGCTCATCATTCCCTCCTCAAAGGGGATGTCCATTCCTACATCCTCTGACAGGAGTCTGAAAAAGGCAAAGCAAAGAGTGTAAAAACCTGTGTGAATGTTATTTTCTTTGAAAAGGACATTTTCTACTCTCTTGAAATCAACCAAGTATGTGTGCTGACTCCATCTTAAGTGGTCCAAAATTAGAAAAAAGACTTCCTGCAGTTACAGTGAAAGAGAACCATGAAAACCAATTCCATGGAATTGTGTTCACAGCCGCTGCCAGGTTCTCCAACGCCAGCGCCGCCTCTAGCTCGCCAAGCTCCAGCCGAAGAAGGGAGTAAGTGAGGAGGTCTCTTTACCATGGTTTGTACAAAGGAGACAGCCTGCAAATACACCGGTGGAAAAGCACCCAGGAAGCAACTGGCTACAAAAGCCACTCGCAAGAGTGCGCCCTCTACTGGAGGGGTGAAGAAACCTCATCATTACAGGCCGGGTACTGTGGCACTCCGTGAAATTAGACGTTATCAGAAGTCCACTGAACTTCTGATTCTCAAACTTCCTTTCCAGCGTCTGGTGCGAGAAATTGCTCAGGATTTCAAAACAGATCTGCGCTTCCAGAGCGCAGCTATTGGTGCTTTGCAGGAGGCAAG